CATGGAAAACGTGGAAGTCCAGGAAGGCCGTTACGTTCCAGCATGAGACTCCTCAGCAGTGCGCATCTACGATCCCGCCCCCCGCGAGATTCAAACCCAGGACGTACCAGTCTCGCACGCGAGCGCTTAATCGACGGTGTTAATGTCTAACTTCAACTAATCCATGAAGTTGCGCCACCGTACACCATTGTCTTCAGTGAGTTGATATCTCACAACAAACCTGGTTGAACTTCACTGGTCATGGCTTCTCACTAGAACTCCAGGAAATGCCTCTTGAAGTAAGTCACTAATGGTTAAACGTTAAGCGCTCAAGCGCTGGACTGATAGGTCCTGGGTTCGAATCTCGTTGGCAGCGGGACCGTAAATGCTCATTACTGAGGAGTTTCATACTAGGACCAGGTTTTACATGGTGGTCTAGCTTCAACTGACTCATGATTTCAACTATAAGTTTATCATATCAAACTGTGTATGAGAGAAAAAATGATAAATTATAAAATGAATAAATCCACTTTACATAAACGATTATTATTTTATTTAGGGAAAGCAAAGAAACAGAAGAGAATATCTTTTTTTCTTTTTTTCCCTCCTTTTAACAATGTTACGTTTAAAAAAAGAGAAAAGAAGGAACATTGGAATATATTCAATCCTTTATTATTTATCCACTCACAATAATTCTCTGGATCAGTTCAACCCGTATTCTAAACAAATTAATCCGATAAATTTAGAAAAAATGAGAAAAAAAATGGTTTAGAGATTAAAAATTATAACATTACTGATAATTATAAATTGATTTATTCTCATTATGAATATTAAAGAAAAAAAAATTAACTAATGGGAATTTATTGAATAAAGTCACGATTTAAGTATAAAGTACTCAATTTTTAATAATACAAACATTGAGTATATTTATTGAAATGATGATTAGTAATGAAATATAAAAGCATATGTTTTATCTAATTTGCAATTCGTCAATGTGATTTGAAAATGCAACAATCGAATCACATTTGACGGAGAAGAGTTGGAAGATGTAAAACCTTTACATATCTGAGAAGCATCATTGATGAACATGGTGGAACTGATGCAGATGTGAAGGCGTGGATCGGCAAAGCAAGAGCAGCATATTTACAAGTGAAGAACATTTGGAACCCAAAGCAACTGTCAACCAATACCTAGGTCAGAATTTTCAATACAATCGTCAAGATAGTTCTATCGTATGGAGCGGGAACCTGGAGAATTAAAAAAGCCATCATCTAGAAGATTGAAGTGTTTATTAACAGCTGTTTACGAAAAATACTTCGGATCTGTTGGCCAGTCACTATCAACAACAGTCTATTGTGGGAGAGAAAAAACAGATCCCAGCAGAGGAAGAAATCAGGAAGAAGCGCTGGAAGTGAATAGGACACGCATTGAGGAAAGCACTCAATTGAATCACAAGGCAAGCCCTCACATGGAATCCTCAGGGCTAAAGGAGGGAGGAAGACCAAAGAACATAACACGCCGAGGAATGGAGACACACATAGGAAGAATGAACAACAGTTGGATAGAACCATAAAGGAAGGCCCAGAATGGAGTGGATTGGTGAATGCTGATCGGCGGCCCATGCTCCACTGGGAGTAACAGGAGTGAGTAAGTAAGTAAGTAATTCTTCAGTTTTATCTGCTTGGATTTCAGTGTTGATTTTGCTACTGATACTTGAACTCCTGAAGTCATCTATTGAACAGCATAATTTTCAGAGCTGTCGACTTGTCCAACTGTCATGATACATATGCGAACCTGTCAAAAATATTTGAAAAACGTAGAAATATGAAACATCCAATCAACATGACATTCCATGCAAGCGAATAAATAAATGATCCATGTGACAGCCGAGTAAAGAATAGTGTACATACATATGGGACTAATATGTACTAGCCTCGGATCTCGTTGGAAACATTAATATTAAGATAGAGATATATCAAGCTGATGAGTCTTTTATTAGGTAAAATATGAACCATTTGATTCAGTCTCTGATCAACAATGTAATTAGATAATACAGGTAGGTAATATTGAAGCATATTTTCGAGAGGCTATTTTGAACTGATCAATTCTACTTTGAATACCAATAAATAAATAGTAGTGTATCTCTGACTATTTACATAACATATGGGATAGAATACTTTCAATAATAATATATTCCTCTAATAATATTAAGTGAATAGATCAACCCACTTTTGTAGAGATCCAGAAAAATAATATCAACTAAGATTACCCAAGTTGACGTGTGGAAGTTTCATTCATACTTTACTATTTTATTTTTATAAATGATAAAGATGAAAATAAATAAATTTTTTATTAACATGTTTTCCATAGATTAGAATTTAATTTCATAGTAAATAGGATTTGATGGTCTATTTGAATATCTAGTATACATATTTTTTCTGCCATTCAAATATTTAAACCAATTATATCGTAATTTTTGAATTTATCTCAACTTCGTAATTATGCAAAGAAACTAAATAACCTATTGAGTTCAGTGTATAAATTTCTACAACCTGTTGCTATGCAAAATAGAGTAGAGTAATACCTTAGCCACGTTTGTAAATGTGAACTGGTACCAATCTATGTATTAAACAATGTCATCGACTTTCTTCTGTTGAAATAGCATTCAAAACATTTAAAAAATACAGTGGTATTTATATTTTCAACATTTACGTGATTCCCAAATGCATCTCATCTGCACTATTTGTTTTCATTAATGGGTTCACTGAATTTGCTGCTACTACCATTAGTGGTTTTTTTCAATCGCACGTAGCTTTCTTTCATCTCTAGGTCACTAGAATCTAGTCTATTTCTCCTCCAGTTCTGATGTTCTACATTAAGTTTTCATTAAAGATGTAGAAATATATGCGACTGGCAAAAGTATTCTTCCGCTTAGTTCTGATCACTGTATAATTCATCTAAAGTATGTGTCAAGCTTGGAAAGAATACATTTTTTCACTAGACAAAGAAATTCAAACATTTAAATAACTCAGAAAAATATACAATATATGGTATCATGTTCCCTGTTTCTCCATGTTAGAGGAAATTTAGTCACAAAGTTTGCTCAAAATGATATTTTTAAATGCCTCAAGTTGTTTTACTCGACAAATTGTTTAGAAACCGACGATATTCCAACCCCATTCTTTAAAAAGATGTACAGATGTTCTATTTTACCCATCAAAGAGTATCTTTAATGAATCATTTCCAACTAATTTCATGTTGAAAAAATTAAAGATAATCCCAATACCAAATATCGTATCTGGTGATAAACATGAAAGATTTCGACCAACAGCGACAACATCACCTTTTTTAAAAACGATGCAAAAACTATCGCTACTCTCACTTGCACTGAAGGAACATACTGATCTAAATCAGTTTGTTTACAGATAAGAACGAGGCACTTTGGATGCTGAAGTTATCTTGCACAATAGCGTGTATAATTTCCAGTTTGGTAAGGGGTAGAAAGAATGTTAGATTAGTGTTTATAGACTACACTTCTGTTTTTGATTCTGTTCCATTACTACGAATGTTAAAGAATTTTCCAAGAACTGAATAAGCAACTGGGGGTGTTCTTACTTCACTGGAAGAGAAGTGTGCTGAGCTTAGAGGAAAGTAGTTCATTTATTTATTGGCCAAAATCAGTGTACCGCAAGGAGCTGTTATTTCCCCATTATTCTGCATGACCAATCATCTACCAAATAAACAGTTGTGTGATCCTATTGCATGTACGCCAGTTCCTTCCTTAAATTCTATGGAAAGGAATATATTCTTGGCCTTCATTAAACGGTAATCTATTTCCAATGATCATACAATTAATCCTTCCAAATATCATAGTTAAATTTTTAGCCTGGGATATGAAAAGTACTTAAAAACCCTGTTAGAATCACAAATTTGGAGATTGTGTAGTAAAAACTAAGTCAAACGTCACTTAAATATATGTAAGCCTTTTTTGACCTCTGAGTTTTCTCATGCTATCAATATTGAAGAGATTCCATCTGATTTATCACACAAAAATGAGACGTTTTTGGCACTATTCAACACTTTTATGATTTGTAAGTTCTTGTATATTACCAATCACAATTTCCTGTTTCCCAACATGTTATTGGTTTTCGCAGTTTTTAAGAAAATTAGCAAGATGTGCAGTGAATCTTTTATAACCGTTTGTTTCTTGTATATTATTCGGCAGAACAAGATGCATTTGCATAAGAATCCATGCACGCAAACGAAAGCCCTATAATACTATATCTAGAACATATTTTATATGATGAATAGGCTGCAAAGGCTTACCTAACCAAAAGTTTATACTCGTGAGCCTGTTGTTAATTTACTGATGTATTATTATTGAGTGGTCAATAAAAATCCCAGAATAACAGAGTTCATGAATATTTAATAGTGGATACAGCTAATATTTGATAGATTAAAGTCTAAGGTCTTTAGGTGACATAGTAAATACGTTGATGTTGAGTTATTTAATTGAATTCCAATAACCAGCCTATCATAACTTCACCTATTTTTAGTTAAGTTGGTTTGTGGCCAACAGTGAAATATGACATGTAAGTCGTATTCTATAGTGGACTAACCAGTTGGATGAGCCTGTATTGCAGTGTTGATTGTCATACTGAAGCCAGACTATTATATATTTATCTACTTTCATTTAAGCGGTTGGACAAAATAGTAGAATTTGCATTTGATTTCTCAACTACTTACAAGTAATAAGGGTTACACTGAAAATTATATATATATATATGTTACATCATGTTCGAGACAAATCTCTATTATCATGTAAGCATCTACTACAAGACTTCAGTTAAATAGACATCACTAAAACGAACAAAACATTATCCCCTATGCTACTAGATAGCATTGTTTAAAATTTCCATGAATTCTTGGCAAGTGACTATTTAAATACAGTTTGATAATTTTAAGTTGTATAAATGTGTAGACTCACGATGATGAAAAGCTAATTACAAAAGACATAGTTATCTGAATCAATTTTTATATTTCCTTTCTGTAAAAAATTGAATAATCTAAGTTAAAACTTTAAAATACAAAACTGTACAGAAATTACTTTTTTCCTTGAGAAAAAAAAGAGATATCAAAGTCAAAATGGAAATGTACAACTCTAAAAATATACATTATAAGTCTCCATCTGTCTGTCTGCCTCGCTTTAAATCACAAAATGTACATGTGGTGTTTTATTTTCATTATCATTAGACACCTTCACTTGGCTCCAATTCTGCGCGTGATTTACCTTTATTTCTAGAAACTTTTTCAGTAGTATATTCAATTTCTTTTTCTTTATAATAATGCGGTGCAACTTCCAATAGCCACTTTGATTCAATTTCAATAATTTGACGCATGAATTCCTTAGTTGTATATACCAATTCATGATAGATAACCCATTTCGGCAATGCTTCAGATAGACATGAATTTGGATGTGGATAAATTGTGTGCTTTTGTTTTACAGTTTTATAACCATCACCAGTGAATCGTGCTGTATGATAGAAAAATCCAGCAGTTATAGCCTAATAACAACAAAATAATAAAGAACAAGGAATAAAATAAAAACAGAAGGAACATGATAAGAAAATGACAAAAAGAAAACACTTTTGTAGTAAGGGTTTCATTAGAAGTGCGAATTCATAACCTTAAAGGGGATGGAAGCATAGGAACAACAGGTCTTCTGGAGCTTCAGCATTTAATAGTTTACATGTCATAATTCAATCACGTCAGACAGCTTTCTTTACAGTATGAAAGTTTCACAGTTTATAAGATAAAATACTAGCATAGGACAAAACATACGGATTTGCTTAAATCGTTATTGGACACAGAAGACAACATGACTCAATTGAAAAAGTTCAAATCAAATTCATAAACTATTATGCATAACTTCTGAAAGTACTACATCCTCTTTAAAGATATTTAGTACAATTTTAAACATCAACTTCAATGAGTGATGTAACCTCCTTTCATAGTTAGTGACCCATTATTAACTTATAAAAGTATTCTATTGACACGTTATCAATCAAGCACTGATCTGTCGACTTATTACGATTAATTTTGTAACAAGCTTTTTCAATATATAACTCTAAGCCTAAATGTTAATTAATAATTGCTATTAATTATGCAATTGATTCTTGTTGAAAAAGACAGATAATTTCGAAACAAGAAAAAGAACACTGTAAGTCAAATCCGTATGAATTATTAATACAACACGATAGATTATATAGCTAGTTACCTTTCGAATGTTCACATGGTCATGTGGATTATTCACTAGATCAATTTCAACACGATCTAACAAACCTACGAATTGATCACGAATATCACGGGCTCGTTTCATAGTTCGATACTGAATAAACTGCTCATAACACCAATGAGAAGAGAAATCTAAAATGCGAATAAAAATTGATTTTTACAAACATCAGTATTTAAGTAGACTATATTCAGAAGACTATTTCCACAAAAAAACCTTATTATATCATAAATTTCTTGTTTTCTACACAAAATTTCGTTAAAAATATTTGGTAGTTCAGTTCACGTATTTTCTGGACATACCAATATGTAAGAAGAGATCACTTAAAACTATAGCCTCTGTTAGTATTATGTTTACATGTACTAACCAGTCTTAATCGATTTATCAAAGATGATGTGTAAAATGTCATCAAAAATCTGTCTACACTGAAAGTCATTTAAGTATAGTCAAATAGTAATAAACATCTATAGGAAGGAAGCGCTGATAATACCATCCATAACGACAACGAGAATTTCTGCAATCAAGATCAAAGAACTTGACAACGCCAAAAAATGAAAATTTTTATTATGGAATAACAAGGTTTTATTTTCACATCATAAAATTAGCGTCTTTGTCGTTACTTTTTCAATTAATTTTAGGCGACGATAAAGCGCATCGTCTATATCATTCCAAACATTTGCTGACTAAAATATTTGAGATCTAGCACAAAAACACACATGGATTTGTAATCCATATATATATATGTTAACCTTATTGCAAAAGAAGTAATAGTATTTAACCACACGAAAAAGCTACATTTGTAAACCATCGAATATAACACATTCCGGCTCAGTAATTTAGAAGTGTTCGCGTGTAAGACCGAAGTTCCGGGTCGTGGATGCGCGCTGCTGGGGACTCCATACTAGGCCGAAACAGTCTTCCAGTACTTCCAGGTTTTTAATGATTGTCGGACTTGGATCGGCTCGAGATTTCAATGAAATACAAGAGCGATGAAATATATGAATCCGTAAATTAAACGGTCGAACTGGTCATTAAACCTTTACATTAGTACTGAAATATAATGAGATGGGTCATATACATGGAGTACGCTAATCAATAAACCATAAGGTAAGCTAACATAGAAATCCACGAGGAAGCTTTTCATATACACGTAAACACTGAAATATAACATTTTTCAAATATACCAATCATTTGGTCTAGGAGATAGGATCAGCTGGAAGAAAATGATGTGATAATCTCCTAATTTATCGGATAAATAATGCATTACAAATGAAATGCTATTGTTATGAATGGGAAATAAATCTATACAATTTAAATACGGAAAAACTCTAAGTGGATATGTTTCTGTTGGAGTCCAGAAAACCACTTAAAACAACTCAACAATCAAATGACTACATAATGATTTCCTCATGCTATAAGTTAAAAATAAAGACTAAAAAGCCTTACAGGCAGAGGTAAATGGCGGATAGAAGGACGTGAGTTTCCTCCCATTTGGGACATGTCAACTGGATGTAACTGCTTTTTCACTCAGAAATTGAAATAACAGAAAAAAAACTTCAAACGACAGGTACTGTTTACACTTGACATACTAATTATGCTACTTCCCTAATTTTAAAGTAGTACGGTGTATAATAAAGAATTTCAACAAGTTCGAATTTATTGTTGAAGTTCATAAAAGACTATATTTATCACTGACAAGGAAACAATTTGTGAAAAACTTAATTTTTTACTCCTTAGTAATTATTTCATACGATAAAGGATAATTAATTGACAATAAAAGTATTCACCTCATATCCATGTTACTTTACCAATACAGATATTGTAAAGATTAGTAATATAAATGTACAATCTATCAGTTAAATATACTAAGTAATAAATGAAAGAATATCTAACTCAGTAACCGTATGGAGAGATTAGTCTAAAACAATGATCCCTACTTATTGTATGAGTAGTACTGACAGTCGCAGACTGTTTAAATCTAAGTAGATAAAAAGATTTTTAGGCCCTTAATTACTGTTTGACAGTTCAATAATTAATCAAACACCAACTACACCCACCTTGAAGATGAAGCAATTAAAAAGCGAAATGATGTGACACACATTTTTATTTCAGTTCTGTTAGTGATCAGTCATTATTGGTAGAAAATGACTTTAGTATGAATTACCGTTGAACTAGAAGTTTTTGTGTTAATAAACAAGAAAGAATAATAAGTTAATACCTGTCTATCAATTCCGTTCATAAGTAATATAACGCCGAATACACTATACTTATGAAACTAATTAAATTTAATTTAATTGCTCGATATAAAATTGTGAGAATTGAAAGCTTACCCGATTCTGCCCACTGATTATAAACATTCAATAGCATAATATGATCACCGGCTATATGAGAAAAACTTTTTCGTGCAGTATCTGCATGAATTAATTTATCTTTCGGTCTATAGAAGATGGCATTATTTACAGAAAGCATAGACGCAATAGTGATAATATCACCGGAACATTTATACCTTTATTAGGAGGTAAACGAAAAAGAAATTTGTACGTTACTCAAAAAGAAAATCAAGCTATAACAGATATTTTTCAGTGTAAGTACCTTTCCTTCTCGCGGTGAGGGTGTTGTTTATGAAACTGAGAGGATGAAAAACGAATGTCTAAAGCTTTATTTGGGTTGGTGGATATAGAGGAACCACCTAGAGGAATAGGGAAACCCCCATTCCAAATCAATGGTGTACATGGGCTCCAAGATCCTGATCGGAACAAATGGTGTATGAACCACCTATGGTTGTTCACAGGCTATCATGGAACTGCATCTTCTCACGTCGCTCCACTTTCTTGTGGATTAGACATTTAGATCAGAGGCTCGGGGCGTGGACCCCCAAGGAAACCGCCTGTTTCGGTTTGAGCCCTACGGCAGTATTCCGGACCTCACAAAATCGGATGGCGAAGTGTGGAGCATATATATAGTTAGTGCCTTCTTGTACCAATGTTTATATGTTTAAATAAATAAATAAAATTAGATTTTGAGGTAGATAAAAAGAAGTTAAACTGTAATAATATTTGAGAATTTAAAATTGACGATTCTCCACCAAGAATCTACTAAACTACATGTTAAATAAATAAACACCTTGCAGATGAATACATTTATAAGCTTTGTAAATAAGATTGCCTGAACAAATAATTGATGATACAACTGCTTATCTGTAACCGCGTATGTATAATAGAATAACCAACCTTCTGAAAATATTTTCATAGTCTCGCGAATATAATGTATATATATATATACAAGGGAAGCTCTACGTATCAGAAATGGAAATGAAGAAACAACTAGTGTATAAACGTATCTTGAGTATCAGCTAACATAATGACGTATCTCTCTTACAACAGTCCACCGTAGACTATATATATTTTAGATTAGATGTTCAAACAATGACCACATCTAAGAAAAATTACTTACATTCTTTGGGTGTTCTGATAGTAATGCCAACATAACATAAATCATAACAATACGTCATGAAGAATATAAATATAAACTTTAATTATACTATCAATAATTAAATACAGAAAATTTTACATAATACATATTGTTTCAGTGTGTTACCCTTAAAGTAAAAGAAAAATCAAGTGACAAAAAGTTAGTGATTCTTCGTTATTTTAAACTACATTTAAAAGTAACAAAGTGAGATTTTTAACATTAAACTGAAAGAATACAACAAACACTATGATGTTAGATGCAAACCTGATTGCGGAGTTCGCTAATTCATGAATGGAAAAGAGTGGTTTAGTTGACCAATGGTTGCATGTTAGCTACAGGTATTAATTAACTTTTTCGGAAATTATAGACTACTTTTGACCAACATTAACTTTCGGTATAATGTGACTGTATTCAAAACTCTATCTGGTTTCCAATTGTATCCTAGTGTCTATACAACTCATTGATTCTTCAGGCAATCAAAATACTAGTCTACAAAACGAGATTTGTGTAAGTAAACTGAACGTGAATAAAATTGCAACTGATTATTACATAAAATTATTGACGTCAAGGAAATGGTTAACTGATTGCCAATAAAATATTAAGACGATTTATTCTTGGGTTATACACTAATGAAACCAGAGAAGTGTTTACTAATCACCTACAAAATTGTGAACTTATTATCTACTAATTAAATCTGATTCGGCTGAAGGTGGATAGCGGACACATTGTGGTAATCATCAAACTGCCTCACAAAGTATGTCCTAACTTGAAATCCTCAAGGCAAAAAGAGAAGCAGGCTAAAGAAAATATTGCGCAGGGAATTAGAGGGAGTTATCGAAATAGTGAATAGCACTTGGAACAACTGGAAAGGAGAACACAGGACAGAGTCGGGTAGGGATTCCTGGTCGACAGCATATGATCTACGAGGGATAACAGGCGTACGTAAGTAAGTAAATCCAATCCAATAATTCTGTCTTCATCTGATCACCCAAATACATATAAATAAACCATTATTATTATAGTTTACCAGACACAGCAAACAGCTGGGTTTTTATTTAAATATCTACCTGCTTTTATTGTAAATTAATAATTAAGAAACATGATTTTGGTGAGAAAGAAAATATACATTTTTAAAACATTCAACTCAAAATATGAAACTGTAAAACAGTGGAAATACAAATGCGGAAATCCCATGAAAACCAACGATGCGTATAAACTTGCAGACGACTTATTCGGAAAGATTTTACATTCAACAAAAATAATTAAGCATCTAACACCATAAAACTTTTTTGAGATAATTTGCGGAAGTGTATATAATATCCAAACATTTTAAACGAAAACTTACTTATCTGAGGCTAAAATCATTTTTGATAATTGTGGATTACATGGGAATTCAGCCATTTGACGACCCATTTTAGTTAGTTCACCTTTATGATTTAATGCACCCAAGGCGTATAATTGTTCTAATGCCATAATTAAAGCATCATGTGGTGGGGGATCCATATAGTCAAAATGTAGCAGATCATCAATACCAAGAGATTTAAGTAATAAGACAACATTACCTAAATTTGTACGTTGTATTTCTGGAATAGGTTGTGGATCTAATTCCGTATGGTAAGCATGTGAAGTGTATAGACGAAAACATTTGCCTGCGGCTACACGTCCAGCACTATAATATATATGTATAAACACATAAATAAGAAAATGCAATTAATCCTATTATCTAAAATACTTGAGCTGTTCACAAATGAAATAAACAAAATCTCATGACTAGATTTTCTAAATGAATTAGGTTGATGTTATGGTCTCTGAGCTGGATGGTTAGATTGTGAAGTTTTCATTGTTCCTCTGACCAAAATCATCAGCACGCACTTCAGAGAGAAGTGACCTGGTATTTGGTCAACAAAACCAGCTGTTAGTTAATTGCAAAGAAATTCTCATACCCCACATCTCTGAATTACTTGCTGATAATATTGTTTAGAAGAACAATGAAAGCTTAATAATCTAACCATCCAACTTAGAAACAACAACACTCCTAACACCTATATCGTGAGCTACATTTTGAAGTTATTAAATAAATCTTGAAAAACAATTTACAGAAAGGATTTGACGAATGAAATCAGAGAGTTGATGTACACAAGTCTATCGCGGTACAAAAATGTACATATTATGTTAATCAAGAGCCAATGACCTATTCTCGTTTTAAAAAAACAGCTTTTATCCTCATGAATAAGTTAAGAGTACCAATGTAGTATACCTAACAACGTCGGCTATATGAATAACAAATAGTTGTGAATTAAAATTGTATACAAAAGAAATTGTCATTAACATATGTTAATTTGAAATAATTATTTTGTCATCAATCACTACATCTTATTATAAAGGTATAGTGACAAACAGTTTGATACACATAATCTTCCCTCTTGTACTATATGTACCGAGCTCGACAACTGTAACAGATTTAGATCATGAGTCAGTTGAAGCTAGACCACCATTGAAAACCTGGAAGCACTGGACGGCCGTTTCGTCCTGGTATGGGACTCCTCAGCAGTGCGCATCCACGATCCCGCACCACGCGGGGCTCGAACCCAGGACCTACTGGCTTCGCGCGCGAGCACTTAACCATTAGACTGCTGAGGAGTCCCATACTAGGACGAAACGGCCGTCCAGTGCTTCCAGGTTTTCAGTGGTGGTCTAGCTTCAACTGACTCATGATTTAAATCTGTGAAAATTTCTAAAATCTCCACAAACCCCTTCTGATAACTGTAACAGATGACTTTAAATCAACGGATATGAAACATTTATCACTTGAGGAAGAGGATTTTTAACCAGCATATGATAAATGTGGATCAAATAATGAAAGTAAACGAATTCGAGTAATCTTAACATTATTGCTCTTTGAACACTGAGTGACATTAACGCTTTCAGTATTAAATGTTCAGGCAATTCTGAATGTTTCTCGAAACTACTATTACTATTAGAAGAAAAAGAAACAAATATCTTCACCGAGTGACAATATTCTGTAAGGCACAAAATAATATGATACAAAACATAACATGGCTGGTAAGATGAAATCTAGTCAAATATACTTGAATAAATTAGATGCCCTGATACAGCCGAAGGTGGGGAGAGTCCGCTCTACCCCTCAAAATGCTTTCACAACCACTCCCAGTGAAGTCTTACTCACCGCCTTTCGCGGTGAGGGTGTTGTTTATGAAACTGAGAGGATGAAAAACGAATGTCTAAAGCTTTATTTGGGTTGGTGGATATAGAGGAACCACCTAGAGGAATAGGGAAACCCCCATTCCAAATCAATGGTGTACATGGGCTCCAAGATCCTGATCGGAACAAATGGTGTATGAACCACCTATGGTTGTTCACAGGCTATCATGGAACTGCATCTTCTCACGTCGCTCCACTTTCTTGTGGATTAGACATTTAGATCAGAGGCTCGGGGCGTGGACCCCCAAGGAAACCGCCTGTTTCGGTTTGAGCCCTACGGCAGTATTCCGGACCTCACAAAATCGGATGGCGAAGTGTGGAGCATATATATAGTTAGTGCCTTCTTGTACCAATGTTTATATGCTTAAATAAATAAATAAAATTAGATTTTGAGGTAGATAAAAAGAAGTTAAACTGTAATAATATTTGAGAATTTAAAATTGACGATTCTCCACCAAGAATATACTAAATTACATGTTATTTATTTTTACTACTATCAAATATTCTTTTATCTTATATGTTTGGTGTTTTAATTAACTACTTCTTTCTAAGTATTTCGAAAATTTTTGACATACAATAGAAGTAAGTGTACTAAGTTAGTTTCCAGAACAAAGTTTATTAAGTAAGGCAGAGAAGCTTGTGTATGTTTGCTATTCTCAGTAGTCGTTGTCATCAGTATCCAATTCCTTGACTAACAAAAGTACATCAATTATGACCGATAATCTCATAATGAAAACATTGCTACACAGTGAAAGTTTATTGTAGTGTGGGTTATGAAAACAAAACAACCAGGTATCACCCTAATTATAATGTTAACGGTTTTTATTATGTGCCTAAAATTCAAAATGATAATTAATGACAACATTCGACAAGTACATAATTATATGCTATACTCTGAGATTACTTTTACTTCTGCATCATAGATTTTGTGAAATATTTACATCTAGCAGCCAAGAAATGCTTTGAACACCGATACTGTGTCTATCAACACTGTTAATATAACAGTTAATACCTAATTTAATTATCAAGTGAATGGATTTTAAAAAATGTTATTGAGAACTTAGATAACCGAATTGATACCTCAAACACCCATCAAAATAGATTTTAGAAAAGTCAAATTATTTACTAGCCAGCCACACATGCAAAAGAAATAAATCAACCATTAAAAATCACTCACCGTCCAGCTCTTTGATCGGCTGCAGCTTGTGATATTGGAACAACTATTAATGATTCAACACCAGAACGTGCACTATAAAATTTCTGTTTACAAAATCCAGTATCAATAACATAAATAATACCATCAATTGTAAGTGATGTTTCAGCGATATTTGTGGCTAAGACAACTTTTCGAGCACCTGGTGGTGTCGGTGCAAAAATTTTTGCCTGGTAATTTAGAGATGACAGAAAATTACATCAAATTTTAAGCTGTTTAATGTATTTAGTTAATTCGCTATTTGTTATTTAATAAAAAATAAACAAACAATTGCATTTGACCAATAAACAAAATCACATAAAAAGGTTTGTTAATATAAAGATTTCTTGTCATAGTTTTCATATAATTATTGTGAATTCTAAATTATCTCTAACGAAGAAGAACAGAAATTTGCTTGCCTTATCTTAAAAGTTAAAAACGAACTAGCCAATAAAAATAGTACATGAATTACAATTTGATTGGTGGATTTGTTTTCCCACTGTTATTTTGTTAGTTATTTTTACTGTGATAAATACAAAAGTGTGATTCGTCAATTCAATTAGAACTAAATAAAAGTAGAATTTACTCTGATATATATGTATACCAAATAATTTGTTGATTAAGTGTATTGATGCCAAAAATGATACGTTTTGATTGAGTCGATACATTCGGCTTCAATCCCCCAGTGCCCATTACTACCTACCACGAAGAGTAAATTGAACTAACTCTATAGCGAAGAGAGAAATATTATTAAACAATCGAAAACAACTTAGAATTATTATATGCAACAAAGCCATACTTTGATTCCATGTTATAAAGATCGTAGACTATGTTATGAATTTAAATTGTGGTCGTATTCTACCCTGTGTTATCGATCGATTACAGTGACACTAAACACGTACGGACGGCCTAGAGTCTCGATTGGTCCCACTTCCCTGTCTAGCCCAGTTAGTTGAGTCCAGAACACAAGTCACAGCCTCGGGGATATGAATCACTATATTTCAAACATACTTTGTTTATATACCAGTCAAGCATACCACAGCGTACCATAAAAATAGAAAACAACATTTTGTACAAGTGAACAGATATCGACCAATAGGAAATGTCCATTTAAAGTCCAAGGACACCATTGGACTTAACATGATAATTATTGGTCTATTCCTGCGCATCCACAACAGACTAGAATATATATTTCTCAGTTTGAATAGTACATGTTTAGTGGAGCTCTATCCAAAAACTTAATAATATAATTCAACAAAAAATGACAAAGATTGATGGTTTTGGAAAATCTTAATCGTTTTAGGTTTTTCGAAATAAATATTTACGCTAAAGAGATTACAAATGTTACACGAGACAACCAGCTAAGCGTGATCATAATATTTTCGATAATTAGGATAACAACATGTTCTACTAAAAGTAAGTCTATCTCTAATGTCGCAAAATCAATACGTGATAACCATTTAGGTTGGTCGATATTTAATCCAGCTGCATAATTTTCTTATTTCTAGTTGGTAAATTGAATTTAAGGTTAAAGAGTATACTAGTAGATAATTCACAAAAGAAAATCAATTCTCTAAATGGTCTTTGGAATATCCATTACCAATGAATATTGCAGAACTTGTACAATCTTCAAACTGGACAAGTTTTAACACCCCCTGATAAAAAATATAATCAACTTTCTTTATAAATCAATAATAGGCGACTTTGTAGATAAATATAGAGGTGCAAACCAACTGATTGGTGGTTTATCGACGCAATGCCTCTCAGCTCCCCCCAGAGAATTCCTCCATATGGTTTTCAAAAGCTAAGAAAAGGCTTAGAACATTTTGTCCACTTAGTATATGCCAAAAAACTTAGGAAACTAGCAGATTACGCGAGACACTCTGACTGAGTGATCACTTACTCTATTACTTAATTTACCGTGCCTGGAGAAGTTTCCATAGGTCAAAGGTTAGCAATAACTTTATGAATACGCTTATTTTTTGTACATTACCTAACCTTGCAGTATATAATCCTTTCCTAATTCACGCCTTTTCCATCTTGTATAGGGTTTAAGTGTGGGAGAGTCCTGGCGATTTAGAAAGCAGCTAGGAATTTATTAGCACACCGATCAAGTGCTTTTTAAATAAGGTAACTCGGTTGATATGAATCCCTCCAGATTTTGAGACTGTTGGTGCAAATACATCTCGGAAGTTTAGCAGTGATTTTCGGGACAAATAAAAATAAATGAACAAGAATCTCGCAGAATTTACCATTTCTAAAGGGGATCTGAAGAATTACACAAAAAAGTATACATGATTTCGATAAATGCTAATTAAAACTCAAACTATCACACCAATAAGTCAATAGCTCAAGAAATAAGCTATCTATAGACTTTGCTTTATAATGCAAGCGTATACCTACGTACAAGTAAAATGACGTAACTTGTTTTTCATCTTGTAATGAAATTTACTTCAAAAAACGAAGCTTACTTAAAATAAAACCCATCAAAAGTGAAAAATATAATGAAGTAATTAAAAACAAATGTATATATACCTGCATATCAGATGGAAGACTAGAATAAATAGGTAGAATTATTAATTCACGAATTTTACTCCCAAGTTTTCTTGTACGCTCCATTAATAACTCATTGGCAGTCTCAATTTCTTCTTGACCAGTTAAAAAGACTAGAATATCACCTGGAGGTTGAGTTACATGTATTTGAAGAATAGATATGATAGCAGCTTCAATATAATCAGCTTCTGGAGCCTAGAAAATAAAACCCAATAAAACAAAAAATATTTATAATTCAATAGGGACTAGTATAATTTTCCAAAAACAGCAGACAGACAGTCAAACTAAAAGTATCAACTTAAAGTTCAAGGCCGAAGTCATACTGCTGACTTTACTGGGGTGCAACGGTAGTAGATTCTTTCCATCGGATAACCGGCATCCACAGCGATGCTGCCTCACAACCAAAAGATTAAAGGTCAGCCCTAAAAATGTCACACCTCACTTAACCTCACGGATTTCCGTTTCTGGCGGTAAAGCTTTTAAAGTAGGAAGGTAAAAAATTAGAGAAAACTTGTCGCGACAAAACACGCGTTTTACCGGACTCGGGTAGTTATCTCTTAGACTTTACTGTCATGCTATGATTATTTTTAATTCAGTTTCATTTTCTTCAAGATGATGCATCCTTCCATGGCATGAGCAGTTGAGAAGTGGCAACAACCTCTTTACTTCTGGCAACACCAGAGACTGATAGATAATATAGGATGTGTTACGGTTGTGTAAAACAGTTCATGTTGTCACATTTCACATAAACAGAAGGCAAAATCAAGACAAGATCAAATAGATAAATAAATATAAACATACCACCAACATTAAAAATAAGGAATAAAGATATGAAATGAAAGTGTATAATAATACAATCTTAAAAAATTAGTGGAAAATCAAAGGTGAGTATACATCTTTAGCATAATCTTCGATGTTTAATTAACAATAGTTCACATTTTCAAAGGAGTTTAAACTTCTCCAGATGAACCTTGGATTTTTCCGATCTGTTTCAAATTTAATCTTACATTAGTCGTAGTAGCAAGTTGACTCAAAATTATGTTACCAAAGTACATCACTCAAATTACATTGTATTTATCGTGATACAAATTAATATGAGATAAGATGGGATAATAAGAAGATATATAGATTTACAACTGGCCGAGTCAATTTTTTAATTAAGTACTAAAATTTTGTAAACAAAATGGCCAGTTCAATCGTATCTACTTGTGTGAATTAACTTGAGTCACCTTGCAGACTTATTAACCAAAGCTAAAACTTTTACGCGCGAGGAAACAATTGTTATTCATTCATTTTATTCAGTAAAATTTGTTTAATATTATAGTGGAGCACAACTTAGTGACTAAGGAACTCGACTGTCAGCCCCTAAGTTGCACGTTCGAACCCCGTTCTATATAGTTTGGTTTGGACAATCGGGTAAGACCGCTATCCCCTACGCTCAGAGTGTGATTAAACGCAGGTACACGAAGGTGTACCCGGTAAATGAATTAAACTGACTATTCACTAAACGACCAACCCACTTGGTTGCATTATAGAAGTGCATAACGTTTGTAACTGACCTACCAATCCCAGGTTTAAGTAGTCAGCTTGAGTTGCATAACTTATAAGAGGGATATCGATGTTGTCCAACCATCTAAACCGAATCAGGTACAGAAAAGCTCGAACTTCTGACCTACTGGTTTAACCACTAAGCTAGTGATTAGCACTACGAAGTAGATCGTGGCACTAAGTCATCAAAAACAACTACTATAAAAGTTACAAATCAAGACTCAAGATATTATTGATAAATAAACTAGACTGCTACATACAAAATAATTTAACAGTGATGATCAATTTTTCGATCATATTTGAATTTTTTTTAAAAACTTCACAAAACAAAATGAAGACTGATCATTTTAGTAAATACATTGAAATATTCAAAAAAGACTTAAGACCGATAATGTCGAACAAACTATTTCAAAACTTACTTTTGTATAGTAGATATCAACTGGATAACGACGACCTGGAATTCGGAATACAGGAGCATCATCAAAAAATGTAGCAAACTTTTCTGCATCTAAAGTAGCAGAGCTAATTAGAAGTTTCAAATCGGATCGAAAACGAGCTACATCCTTGAAAAGTTAATTTTTTTTAAAAGGAAATATGTTAAATAGACAATGATGTTTTGTGAATAGAAAAAACCAAATATTCATGTTAAATTACACGTACCTAAAAAGTTTATTATCAAATTGTTACTTGAATAGTTGTAAATTTTTGTTCAGATGTCACTTTTGCATAATTAATCTATTGGATCGAAATAATATAAATATCTGTTAATGAATAAGACTGTATTCTGTGAATAGTTCAACGCTTATGTTGACAGTTATTATTAATAATTTATTTATTTATTTGAACACATAAATATTGGTACAAGAGGGCACCAATATATATGTGCCACACAAAACAATGGGAATTCGAAGAGAAGGAAAAAAGGTGAGAAGCGTAAAAAAAGAACAATAACGAACAGAATAAGGTAAGGTAGCGTAATAATAATAATGGGGGAAACGAAAGGTACAATCAGAAGAAATCTTTCAGTTACGGAAAAAGCAACTACTTCTTATGAAGAAAGTGAAAGGTTACAGCAGGATCGCCACTGGCTTCTATTCTGAGCCATATCTGATAAAGTCTTTAGCCACTGTGTTGCACCAACTCTCGGACCCCAGCCAGGGAGTCGTGAAGGACCAACACAAGCCAGCCCTTTGCAGATTTCTTTCATACCATGACACTATGTCATACACTGACCACTGAATTTTATTAGTAATAGAATATTTATGGAAAATATTCTATTACTAATAAAATTCAATACAGGTGTATATTTTAAGTTCACTTGATGTATCAATCATATATATGAAGATAATTGTAATAATAAACCAATATAAAGTAAATATTATCAACAATTCACTCCTATTAGAACATTAGCCTATCACTATGCTACAGTAGAGATAATAATGCCCAAACATAATAGGGATAGAATGTTATGATGAAATAATATTGAGAAAAAAAACTTGGGAAAAAACATTCATTTGTTAATAAATACAGTAAATTCTCATAGCTAAATAAACGGAACCGAATTGGGAATAGAGAATTTTTTACTTTTAAAGTTTATGAGTAATGTTTTGCGCTTCAATTTATACTACAAAATAAATATGATTGGAACTTATTCGATCAGATTAGAGTGGCGGAAAAGTTACGTGAGAAGTTATATTAATTAGATAAGTTGGGGTATAATTTAGTGATACTTTGATTTTTTCCGCCTTGAAATACACTTATATGAGTAGTATGAAATTAAAAGAATCTTTTAAAAATAAAATTTAACGCAAAATTATCTTATTCTAATTAAAAAGGTAGATCCATCCAGATATATATTTACAAATATGACAATACTTTCTTGGATAATATTCCGAATTGCGCTACTCTAATTACAAACTGACTAATTTAGTAGTCGCATAAACTATTACTTAGAATATGTATGACATAGAGATTAACAAACAATTTCCTGAATAAAAGCTGATGAACATTTAGCGAAAAAGTAGTTGAATAAACAAGAAAAATGATGAGTGGTTGTTTCACGTCATTTGGTTAGAAATCATTATAAAGTAGAGTAAAATGTGATTTATTGTGGCTTAACAATATATACATTTTAACTTTTAAGCAATGAATTGATTAATTAAATGTTTATACTGTACTTTTATGTAGACAGTTTAAAAGTATCATAAGACCTTGAATACTAGCGAATAGATTAAAACTGTTAGTCCGCATGATAGAAAAAGAGGAAAATGATTCAATCAATAATAGTTTACCTTTACTAAACCGAACAGTATATCTGTATGTAATGTACGTTCATGTGCTTCGTCTATAATCATTACCGAATAACTGCCCAAATCTGGTTCTGTGAGAAATTCACGCAAAAGCATGCCGTCTGTCATGTACTTTATTATTGTATGCTCTGAAGTACAATCTTCAAAACGAATACTGTATCCCACTTCAGATCCAAGTCTAACAGACATTTCTTGTGAAACTCGAGCAGCTACTGACATGGCAGCAACACGACGTGGTTGTGTACATCCGATACGTTTTCCTCCATTACAATAACCCTATTGAAGAGCAAAATGTTTCAATAAACAGAAATTATTAGTATTATTGCTAAAGTATTTACACTTTCAATTGAAGGGTATTGAATGAAAGGCTGTAGAACAAACTTTGCATGTTATAATAATTCTTTTTTGTTAGGTAGACAATTTTTCATGCCCCAGTATAGTGCCACTCAACATGACGACTCATCATTGGGTAACATCTTACAAAACAAGCATGGGAAAATACATCTAAAACTTTTTTACAACATAACGCACCAAGAAACGAAGACGACTTTCAATATATACTGAACAGCACTGAAAATAATATTACACGACAAACATATTTCAAAACTCATTAAGTCATTACACAAAATGAAGACGTTTCAGCAGAAAATTCCTTTCGAAGATGATATTTACCAGAGTTGTACAATCCTATTTAGAGTTATTTTCTTCACATATAGTATAAATCAGTCAATAGCTCGATCGTTGAACATCTAGTCAATTCCGGTTATCTATCTAAATCAGAATCCTTATTTAATATTATTCACAGGATAAGACGGACAAGAAACTTGCACATAGCAGAGGTTGGTTCCTTGAACTAATTTACAAAATTCAATCATATTCATTTCGTTTCTAATACATTTCCGATGATATTCATATGGAAATTATTAAATGATGAGATGATTATTATATCATTATGCTCCTTACATTTATCGCTCTTTAATATAATTTTTTAGCTCAGCTGAGTAAACTAAGAACCAAGAAAATTTTCTGCACTGGAAGGGTGTACAGAATCGGAATTCATGTAAAGATGGGTTGAAATGTATTGGTTTGTAGTAGACGGTTAGATCTATGATTCTATTTGCATTACTCTTAGCTAAATAGTTTGAAAGTTGTAGTTCACTATTTATTTTCGATTTCGAAAGTGAATTTGACATGTGCCGAGAAAGTACTTATCAGTCTAAGAAAGTTTCTCAATGATGATAAAAATGTCACCTACATATCTGAGCCAAATACGAGATCTGACAGAACTGGGAAAAGTATGGGGCATAACGGAGGGGGCTTAGTATTTTCTGTTTTCCTTACATGCGGTGAATGAGGTTGAATTCAACCCGTTTGAGACTCGTCAGTTGGATGTACCTGCATTCCAGGGTTGACGTCAGCTTAGGGACTCGAATCCAGTACCGTTCATTTTAAACGCAATCGTGTTATCCACCTAGCTAGAGTCCTGATAGCCAATATCCTGTGCAATTGGTTGTCTGAATCTGCCCATTGATATTTAGAACTGCAACCGATCAATCAATCTCTGGACCCGGTAGCTAATTCGATAACGGGATGGCGTTCGGGGCGGATGGTACTGGATTCCAGTCCCAGAGAGAACATTAACTCTGGGATGCAAGCACATCCAACTGGCGAGTCCCAAATAGGACGAAACGCACGTCCTGAATCCTACTGCTAGCCACGGTTCATCTTTGCTTATACTACTTGTGACTTAAGGCAATACCGAGGCGATCTGCACAAGATGTTCATGTGCCAATAAGAGATTGATCAACTGCAGTCTTAAACATTGATAAAAAGATCCAAACGACCAATACAAAAATGAGCTATAAATTCGATCTTATACTCATTGGGATATTACAAATACATGATTATCATATTATTTTATGGAGTATTAGAGTTGATTAGCTTCAAGTGAACACCTGTTTTAAATTTTTCGATATTGTTATTTATTTTACCATGCATTAATTTTGATGCTTATCCTACTAGTTTTGACTAACTCGATGAAATACCATGATGAATGAGAAGGTCATTCAGAGTAAAACACTTTTCTTTCAAAAAACAAAAACAAATATGAATGGTGAGTAAATTATAAATAAATAAAGATGTTACGATAAGCATACCGCTTCGTACAAATACTGAGGAATTTGAGTTGTTTTACCAGAACCTGTTTCACCTTCTATGATTAAAACCTGATGATCAGCAATAGCTTGTAAAAGAGCATCCCGGAATTTATAGATCGGGAGCGAGCGTTTTGCTTCCTTGAGGGCTTCACGTTTGTCAGTAGCTTTTCGTTTTTGCTCTTCGTCTAGACTGACTTCTTGTTTAATGTTGGCACCGGGTCGAGTTAGTGTTTTTAAAAACTCTATTTCATCATCCAAAACAAGATCATATTTCACCTAAAAATACCAAAACACGCTCATTTGTCACTATGGGTAAATTACGAAGTTTAAAACAATAATAATAAAGTTAAATAGAATCTACACCATAACCACCTCGATTAGTGTTGATACAATTTCCAGGTTACATCAGGAATTATTAACGTAAGATTTATCAAAAATATGTATCGGTTCAACTTACCACACTTTACAACATTATCGAGGAAAAACTAATCAAATAAAAAACAAAGGAGCCTAAGTGATCGTATTAGTGGTAGCAAAAAGATAATACAGAGGACACAGTTCGAGAACGATTAATGAGAGCAAAAATGGGAAGTATGAAATATCATTAAAACTCAAAATTTAAAGGGTAATAAGTAAACACATCTAGGAAACTGGTAAATGATTTTGATCTATATTGTCTAACGTTGCCAGTCACAAATTATGTTTATTCTAAGGACCTCAATAAGATCAGTCAGTTAAGATGGCTGGGACATGTATTACGTATGCCCAACCACCGACTGCCCCGACAAGCGATGTTTTGAGGTGAAGGAGTAGGCTGGAAGCTATGAGTGGTTATATCAAAACATGGCACTAATGCATGAAGTCACTGACAAGTGAACTGAGTCATGTTGGTAGGTGTAGACTACCTGGTTGGGGACCGCGAGATGATAGCAACCGATGGTTAGAGACCCTGAATGACATGGCTCAAAATCGTTTGCAATGGCGCAGGTGCATCCACTCTTTGTGTTCTCCCAAATTATAATCTTCTGAATTCTTCATTTCCCTTTTTTCCCTTTCCAAATTTATTTCACTGGATTATACTCCTTGAATAACATCTTCAAACTTTAATCTTTCGGATTACTGCTTATACTTTGACTACTTCTACCACTATAGAATTTGAATCGCAATTGTATCTCTGTGCTAATGTGGTATGGTAACTTGAACTGATGTACGTACGTTGTTGCTGACTGACTGAGTCAATTAGTTAACAATTTCATGAACTGAAGCTGTGTCTTGATCTCGCTGTTTCTGACCTTCTTCTATTTAATCTTACACTGGCCAGCATAGCATGCCTGTGTAAGAGATGACTGGACATGCACAATACATCTCAAACTCCTCAGTCGATGAAGGTCCACAAACTCACTATTTTGTTTATTTATTATTTATTTGAACACAAATATTGGCACAAGGGGGCACCATATATATATATATATATATATATATATATATATATATATATATATATATATATATATATATATGGCCCCCAAATGCCCTGGTACGGCCTCTCGAAATGCTCTCACACGGCCACGCGTATATAGCCTCTGCCAGGGAAGTCTTCACTGCCTTCTCGTGGCGGGGGTGTTGTCTACAAAACTGAGAGGACGAAAAGTGAATGTCCGGTGTTTTAACCGGGCCGGTGGGCACGGTGAGTCCACCTAGGGGAGTTGGAAAACCCCGATCCTGAGGAAATAAATAGTGTATGAACCAATTGTTAGCCACCGGATTCCATGAGACTACATCTCCTCACGATGCTCCACTGCCTTGTGGGTCAGACCTTTAGGTCAACGGCATGGGGTGTGACCCCCTAAGAAAACCATCTGCTTTTGTCTGGGCACCCGAGCAATATCATAGCCGTCACACAATTAAAATGAAATGACAATGACTATTGGATACACTACAAACTCACTAACCAGAATACCATCTAAAACTAATGCTGTATGAGTCATCTAAATACTTCCCACTTGACAATTCCACCATATGTCATTAAGTATTATATATATATATATATATATATATATATATATATATATATATATATATATATATATATATATATGGAAAAATACTAGCAGTGTGTCTTTTACTTCAAAATTCCACAATCCATAACCATAAAATAGACCAGAATGAGTTTCTGCTCAGTATATTTACTCCTCAATAGATGCATCGAATTTCTGACCCCATGTTAAAATATTTGACCGTATTAATATTTTTATTAAAACAGATCACTTTCTATGAAAGTCAGTATTCATAATTTGAAACTGAGTGATTAATGAGAGGGAATTCAAAACAAAATATAACCACCTATGTGTATATCAAAGATTAGACGCCAAAACTGATCACTGCATATTTTGTTACCACATAATGTTCTAATTTCTCCTCATACCATATCCTTGTTTTTATTTTCATTTTATATTTATATTGTTTGTTGACTTTTACTACACCAGTCAATTTAGTAAATTGATAATACTGGTATTTGTTGATGTGTCAAAACTACCTAGCTTATGATATAACCACTGTCATCAATCAAATTGTATGAACAAATAATTTGCAGAATATGTACAATGTTTATATTTAATTATGAAGTTTAAGAAGAAAACTTCGTTGAATTTTTGTGTTTCGTATTAGTACAAATTTTGTCAGTGATTAAAACACTGATTACATACTTATCACTAAAACCTTTTTTGGCTACCTTTTTTAAGCGGGTGATTATTTTGCATTTCTGTAACTAACCATAAATTGTCATTTTAACTACTCCCTACTATACATAGGAAACGATCCAACCGGCTTTGCAACCTTCCTAAAACCCAAAGAATACTAACCATACTTTAAGTTATTATTCAACTTTGAAACACTGTCTGTACCAAAGGGTGATCACTAAAGCTGTGTGTATGTAGAAAATACCTGACCAATGGGAACATTCTTTATGTTGATCAAAAAGTGACTTGTATTTGTGAGGAAATGTGCGTCTACTAAACCTTTTGAAAATATTATCCTGATCCTGACCCACTTTTTCCTGCCGTTCAAAGAGAAAAAGTACCTTTAAATGTCCAGTGACACTAACAACCCCGTTGGTAAGCGAATTGTTTTTATTCTTCATAACCAGTGGATAAAATAAGGGGAAGTTCGAAGCCAACAGACAACATAATTCCATGTTTTGGCAAATGATTAGTTAATGAAAGTGATACTATGACCTAGATATTTAAAATACCTAGCTTTTTAAATACTTACAACTGTCTGTTGTCGTTAGCTATATAATCCACGCATCAGTATATTTCATTCTCCATAATCTTCAAGATGATTGCGTGATAAACCACTGAGTTTGTTTTTATTTTCTCTGTTTAATGAATCGTTATTTACAATTAGGAGCACCACAAACTAGATTGATAAATTCAATTAGCTGTTTCAACTCAATCTTCATTCATGTGGTTACGATCACTGCTGACTGCATTACACTACTGAAGACTACTATATAGACTTGGAAATGGTGGAGTAGGAAAATGAAACCTTCAATTATATTTTTGAGCTAGCTAAAACAGCACAAACTAGGAAGGAGTTGCCAAGCCGTACAGTGAGTTCCGTAGTAAGTGAGATGCAAGTGTACGTCAGTTATGATGACCAACTAGATTTTAGGCCAAACCAATATTACTGGATATGTTTGTTGTTTGAGTTATTATGGATTTGAAGAGATAGACACATCCCTTGCATCCCAATCAAGGAAGCAGGAAAGACAGTCATGAGTTCGAAATGCTAACATTTCGATCAACTAATTGATAAGGCAATTGCAAAGTTGTCTGGTTTAACTAATACTAAATCGTCATAAATACTTAGTGCCAGTATGGTGATGTAATGAACATCTGTCATGATTAACAAAATTAGTTTCACCACACACAAGATGCTCGAGGAAGCAGGGGTAAACCGAAACTTGTCAAATGTCACCTACAGGTGCGTATATTAATTTACACGTACGTGCAGAAGAAGGTATATCGGAAGGACAGAAAAGAGGCATTTACACGACTTATCGGGCATGTTCCAAAAACCTACGTCTCCAAGAACAAAAAAGTCTTCATAGTTTAGTAATATGTAACTTGTTACACATTCAGACGCCCCACAATGGTAGTATTTCTCGACCTTAAGGCGGCATTCGACTCTGTTGATCGTGAGGTTCTATGGCAGTGTTTGTCACTGAAAGGAGTACCAAAGAAGTACATTCACCTTATAAAGGCTCTCTACTCGAACACAACTGGTCGAGTGAGAGCTTATGGCGAACTGTCATCAGAATTGATTACCTCAAGTGGTGTTCGTCAGGGCTGTCCACTCTCCCCATTCTTGTTCAACTTTGTGGTCGACGTATTTTTAGAGATAACACTCTCCTCATCTAAATTTCCAGGGGTTGAACTTCTACCAGGAGGTTCACTTGTTGACTTAGAATATGCTGATGACATAGTTTTATTTGGTGAAGACGCTGACAAAATGCAGAGTCTTCTGACCACTCTAAGCAACAATGCAAGCATGTTCGGGATGCGTTTCTCTCCCTCGAAATGCAAAATGTTGCTTCAGGATTGGGTTACATCCACACCCGAACTAGTGATAGGGAGTGAAGTAGTTGAGTGTGTCGACCTCATCAGCCCTTGTGGTCTGGTGTGTGACGAAATCTCAGCACGGATACAGAAGGCTCGACTAGCTTTTGCCAACTTGCGTCATTTATGGCGTAGGCGAGATATCCGTCTATCAACCAAAGGACGGGTTTACTGCGCAGCAGTTCGTTCCGTCCTACTTTATGGCAGTGAAACATGGCCGGTAAGAGTAGAGGATATCCGTAGGCTACTAGTATTTGATCATAGGTGTCTTCGAAACATTGCTCGTATATCCTGGGACCATTGAGTAAGTAACACAGTTGTTAGGAAACGGGTACTAGGTAAGGATAGCAAATCAATTGATGAAGTAGTGAAACCTCATCAGTTGAGGTGGCTGGGACACGTGTTACGTATGTCCAACGACCGACTGCCTCGACGTGCTATGTTCAGTGGTATAGGAGTAGGTTGGAAGAAAGCTAGGGGCGGCCAAACCAAAACATGGCACAAGTCCATGAAGTCACTGACAAGTGAACTGAGTCATGTTGGTAGGTGCAGACTACCTGGTTGGGGACCGCGAGATGATAGCAACCGATGGTTAGAGACCCTGAATGACATGGCTCAAAATCGTTTGCAATGGCGCAGGTGCATCCACTCTTTGTGTTCTCCCAAATTATAATCTTCTGAATTCTTCATGTCCCTTTTTTCCTCTTCCCAAATATATTTCACTGGATTATACTCCTTGAATAACATCTCCAAACCCTAATCTTCCCGATTACTGCTTATACTCTTATTACCTCTACCACTACGGGATTTGAATCGACAACTGCATCTCTGTGCTAAGGTGGTGTGGCAACTCGAACTGATGTACGTACGTACGAAGTTCTACGTTGTTACTGACTGACTGATGTAACTTGCTGGACGTGGAACAATAAGTGGATACAACAGATGCATTCGAGGTAACCAACAAACTGTGTAGTTCTGGCTTGCTAGGATTCATGACAAACCATAGTCATCAAAATACATAAATATGATCTTTGTAATCAAAATTTCAGTGGCTGAATTCCAACTTCCCTGGTAACAGAAACGGATAACATGATTACCAGTTTCTTCTTATCCTTCAGCTAACTAGGATAAATAAGCAGTGAGTCAAACTCATAAATTCGTATATATATATATATATATATATATATATATATATATATATATATCTTTATTCTATGTAACAAAATGATTTTTAGTACTCTAAAACTAAGCTCCATTTACTAGTGGAAAGCTTCCTGAAACCGTCAATTTTAAGTCTATTTAATTGTAAACAACTTACTCTTTCCTGATGGACAACTTGTTCCTTAAAATTACAATTATCCTAATATTCCAGACTAAATAACCTTACTATTTTGTGCATAATTTAGGAGAAAGCGAGATCTAATCGACTTGTTATATCCTGAAAATATCGGCTGACCTAAATTTGTGAATGGAACCGATTACATCAAAAATAAATTAGAACTGGTTAGGTGGTCAGAGGTAATCAGGAGGAAATTCTCCAAACAACCCTTAACCACTTAATATTGAAACAGCCCACAAGATGTCGATTCACTTAGTCTAGTGGCCACATTCGCAATTTAGTCGGTAGAATTAGATCACTATTAAGGACCAGACAATAACAGTATTGGTCACTATTCAGTGGTTTATCAATTTTTTAGAAGGGCGTTTTGCTTTTGGATAGTTGAGTAATATATGCTACCTTCATAAAACATATGCATTCAACATGTGAATGAGACTTAGAGTGAAATGACTGGGTTTACCACTTAAAATAATTTTAACACAGTGACTTTTATACTAAACTCAAGCACAGCCAACCTATGATACTAACTCACAGAGATTTTACTGCTGGGTTTATTTATTAAATCCCCAAGCCAGTTGGTGATGTTCCTAAGAAATAACAGATAATTGTTGAAAACCCAAAAACGGATAATTACAATAACTGTAGCAACCTTGAGACCGGTCGGAACAAGTAATACTAGTGTTCTTAACTTCATCCATTGATACATTTCTCGCGTACATTTTAGCTTCTAACTATTTTAAATGTTGACGATAATGACTAACCCGAAGATGTTTTACTGAGTTAGTTTGATTAACTGTGAATGGCTAACATTTACGACATTTCCTCTCCCACTCAGTAGCAATAAAAATTTTGGTTAACAATTGTGGACATACATGTGTACGGGCTGCTGAAATATTCAGAAACCCGTGTTTTCAGTCCTAGTATTTAATGTAATCTAAGTAGTATAAAACCTAAAGAAACGAATTTCTCTGAGATTTTGGATTAAGAATAGCACATAACACTAAAATGATCTTAAAAAGTAATAACACAACGAACATACTTCTTGTTCAACTTTGTCTTTAGCACCGAAAGAATAAAGTGCCGAGGAAAGATGTTCCTGTTCCCATCTTTTGCCTTCATCATTTAATTTACTTTCAGATCCTTTGAGTTCGTGATCTTCTGGTCGCTGATAACATAATAAGTCAAAATAAACAAGAATACCTTTTCTTCAGTAGGAATGTAATAACGAAAGATATTTTCCAGTTCTCCTGCTTGTTGATGGGATTTCGCAACCGCCAAAATGGTCTTCTTATATAATAGTTCGGCCTTTTCCTTCTCAGTTAATCTAGAAATTCAGTACGGAAAAATCCACTTTCATACTCTTCATTTTCAAAAAATAGTTCTTCATCTTGGATTTCAGCTTGAAGATCTGCAAGTTTGTCAGACTGTCTTTTTCGCAGATATGTTCGTCTAGATGCTTTGCGCAGCTCGGCAATCATTTCTTCACGACTCTAGAGAAACGTTAAGGAACGCTGTGATAACTGGACATACAACTTCACCATTCGTTATTTTTTTCAAAGCTTCTTCATGCTTACTAGCGGACCTAGAAGAAACCCCTTTAGTTTGTTGCTGATCCCGGTCAACAAGACGTTTAACGAAGGCATCACGTTCCTTTAAATCATTTTGACGAGTTAACTCTTCTTTCTCATACTCTTCAAGTCCACTGGATTCGCCACTTTTTTCACCCTCAACACTAGAAAAAGAAATTGAGTGATCAGTTAGGTTTTACATTTCATCTTCGGTACTGCTTTCACTTGCATTCCGTTGTCTGAAACAACGTCGCTTTGGTGAACTCATTTGTAACGCATATGGAAGTAAGAAGCGCGTTTAGTGTTTCAAATGGTTTCGAATGGTTCTTCAGTCTTCAGTCTTCAGTAATAAGGACAGGAGGTCTGTCGACCTTTATTAATCCTTGCAGTTTGTAATACTGTGGAGGTCCAATCTCTTTTTGAATATATAAACAGAAGGTGCTGATATTACGTGTTCCAGTAGAGAATTCCAGTAATTCACTACTTGGTGCGAGAAACGAAAATCCAGACGTAAACGATTTGATCTGAGTTTTTGAACTTTCTTCGAATGTCCTCTCAAATGATCAGTCCTAGACGGAAGTATAAGATAAGACATGCTAATACCAAGGTCATCGTTCAGTATGCGATAAGCCAATATTAGATCACTCCGTATTCTACGATAAGATAACGGAAATAAGTTGAGGTTTCTCAGTCTGTCTTCATAAGATAGACCAGAAAGACCTTGTACCATCTTAGTACCTCGTCGTTGGACTCTTTCCAACATATCTGCTTCATACTTGAAACAAGGACTCGCTGCTTGAATCCCATATTCTAAATGTGGTCGCACGTAAATCGGGTATAGTAATCTAAACATTTCATCTAAATACTGGAAAGACCTGCGAATAGACCGTAATACCCTATAGCCTTTCGCAGCAGCAGCCTTACAGTGACTAGTGGTTTTGAGATCACTGCTTAATATGACTCCTAAATCTTTATAGTTTTTTACTTTGGGTAGCACGAATCCACACATAGTATAGTGGTAAGGTTCATCATAATTGTTTAATTGCATCACCACACTCTTATTAGGATTTACTTCTGGTGACCGCCTGTCCAACCATGCCACCAATGAACTAAGATCATTTTGTAATACTATCCTATCCGACATACTGTGTCTGGGTCTCCAACTTTTTATGTTATCAGCGAAGAGTAGAACGGATGGTTTTGCTGCAGTTGGCAATTCATTTACATAAAGTAAAAAGAGAAGAGGACCGAGGATTTTACCTTTAGGGAACTCCACTTTTTACAGGTAACCACGGGGAGAGAGCCCCATTTACCCTTACCCTTTGTCTCCTGTCATTGAGAAATTTACTGATCCTATCTACGACTGTATAATGGATTCCAAAACGTTCCAGTTTAAATTTAAGACCAGAGTTGGAAACCTTATCCAAGGCCTTACTTAGATCTATGAAGATTACATCCACAGGAATATTCCGATCTTTTGCAGCAGCCTAATTTTCTATTGCAATGAGAAGATTTGTCAAGCATGATAGGCCTCTCCCAAAACCATGTTGTTCCTTGGAGAAAATATTATGCCCTTCAACATAGTTTATAACAGATATTCGAATAATTTTTTCCAGCCTTATACAGCGGACTTATTATGGCGTCTTTCCAGTCTCTGGGCAGTTTGGACTGCCTCAGAGACATGCCAAACAGTATCGCTAATGGTTCAGAAATTACATCTGATATGGCTTTCATAATCCTAGGATGAATATCTTCAGGACCACTGGACTTATCATGTCTGAGATGCTGAAGTAGTCTTAAAACAGTACCTTTTTCGATGACTACAAGATCCATCAGAGAGCCGCCACAATCACAATGAGTCATTGGTCGTTCTTCATTACTGATAGAAAACACTGTACTGAAATATTCCGATAAAGCTTTAGCTTTCTCGATATCATTTTCTGCCAAGATTAACAGATTTTCTTGTATCAAAAGTGATTGAATTCCATCGCTACTCTGAGTTCGCCTTTTTATATACAAGAATAACCGTTTCGAACTATACCTAGAAACCCTAACCAATGGTTTTTCATATGGTCGTCTAGTCTTACTTATTAACGCTTTTCAGGCATTCCTAACCTTACAATAACTGGATCGGTATTGTTCTAATCCAGTAGAGATAAACATATTCCAGTGCTTCTTCCTTTTTCTAAGAAGTTGCCTGACTGTTTTAGTTATCCATGGTAGACTGTTATTCGTTCTTCGCGATACCAGGTATGGTATGAACGAGAATGTAACTAAACTAAACTTATCTTTGAATACAGACTATGCTTCTTCAACTTATAAGCTAGTATCTACAAACCAATCTGTCTCGGCAACGTATTCCTGAATGGTTGATATGTTAGCTTTCCATACATTTGGGTGAGATGTAACCTGATCGTATAACATGTCCTTAGTTCTAAACGTGAATGACAAAACATCATGATCACTATTCACTAACGGTGGAAGAATATTTAAGTCGACAATATCCTCAGTTTCATGAGTGATTACCAAGTCCAACAGAGAGGAACCTTGGTTAGCACCAAAACGTGTGGGTTTGAATACATGCTCCACTAGTGCATGCTGCATTATTGTTATCAGGAACCTACTATCAAAGGAGTTTATAGATCCTTCTGTGGTCATCTCTGTCCAACTAATATCAGGTGCATTAAAGTCTCCTATTATCAAGCATCTGGTATTTGCACTCCAAAGCTGAATGTGCTCTAAAATAAAGTCATCAACTAAGCAGATTGAGCTACGATTGATGACACCGAGCATTAAAGTACTACATCCGATAGTCAGTTCATAGCTAATGACTTCACAAGTAACGCTATCATGGGATTCGATAGCAGAGGAGCGGTTAATTATATTATTGACTATATATAACAGGACGCCACCTCCTTTTGTACATCTACGTCTATCACTCCTTAGGTAATGGTATCCGGATAATTGCGGAATAATGTCTAGTCAGTCAGTCAGTCAGCCACGACGTAGGACCAGGCACATATATGCATCGGTCCAAGTGGCCATACCTCATTAACACAACAAGATAGACACCGGATTCATAAAAGTAGTTAATTTAGAGGTGGTAATATATAAAAGAAAGATTGCAATAAGGATATAGTACAGGAATAAAGAATTAGTTCGTAGAAAGAAAGATATGAAGCAATTTTAATCTCTTAGTTTAAGAGAAGACAGAGAGTGTATACATCGACGTCATTGTGACCGATTCTGAGCCATGTCACCAAGAGTCTCCAACCATTGGTTACGATAGTCACGCGGACCCCGAATAATGTCTAAGTCATGGACTAACCAAGCTTATGTCACTGCTACAATGAGTTGCCTTAATCTGTCCATTAATGCTTCTAGTTCATAGAACTTATTTCCTAGACTACGAGCGTAGCATTCGCTTCCAAGACCTGACTATCCGAAAACTCACTAACCGGAGATTTCCCTCACCGTTTTGCCGACGGGTTACTAGTTCAGCTAGTGCTTTCTTCGTTTCTTTTCTATCTTCGACAGACATATCAGGTCTAACTCGGATGTCGGAATTGTCGTGACGAGCGTTACTTAACAGGAGATCCCGTTGCTTCTCCGATCCTAGGATTACCTTAAGGACTCGGCATGACCGGTGTTCAACATCGTCCTCAGTCCTCTTGCCTATTTTAACCAGTTTTTTGACCTGAACTCCTTTAGAGTTATCTGGCAAGATACCACGAATATATTTTCTCAGCTTCTCTAAATCATGGAATAAAAGAAGCTTTCGCTTAATTGGTTTCCGTGTCTAGAAGCAGTGGATCACTGATGCCGCCAGGTTGTAAGATAGGTATATTTAACTGTAAAAGAGAGAAGATAGAATGATAATGTCGTTAGTCCCTACGAATATGCCAAGTTTCTCTTAAAAGACTTCTGGGAGGTCGCTTGGACTAGCTCAGCTGGCAGAGAATTCCAGGATCCGACTAATCTTAAGGAGTAGAAGGTGTGCGTACAATCTGGTTTGCTATGTTGTGTCTAATTTCTGGGTGTTAACCCCAAGGCTTGTGTTCGGACTGAACTTATGTAGGTCCAAATGATTGTGGACGGTTTAGAAGAAGCTTTCGCTTAACAGGCTTCCGTGTCTAGTAGCAGTGGATCACCAATAACTTCAGGCAGGAACCTAGGTATATTAAATATAATAGAGTAAAAAGAAATCGGTAAGTTATAGCAAGATCTTATTCTTAGTCCTTAAGGATAGGTCATGTTTTCACTTAAAGGACTTATGTGAAGTCGCTTGAACTAGCTCAGCCAGTAGCGAATTCCAGCATTTGGCAACTCTTAAGGATTAGAAATTGTGTCTACAGTCCGTTCTGATGTGTTGTGTTTCTAGTGTCTGGGTGTTACCCATTAGGTTTGTGTTAAGGCTGAACTTAATTAGGCGTTAAAGGAGATTTCTAGAAGCTTTTAAGTCATTAGAAGGTCATCCACAGGGTGCCTATGCTGGAATAAGTAAATGCACTCGTCATAAGGCTTGAATTCGAGTCCCCGAACTGATTTTGTGGCTCGTATTTGGATGCGTTCCAATGTATCTTCAATCCTTTGACGTTAGAGGGGAAACACCCTGTTTACACACCATAAATGAGGACGAATGAAACTGTTGAAGATCAAGAGCAAAGTTCTATCGTCGAATTGGTCAAAAATGCGCTTTAACGTTACTATCGCAAGGTTTGCTCAGAAGACATTCTTGTCTCGGTTAGCATAAAACTTCAGATCATATTGTACCAACACTCCTAGTTTCTTTTTAAATTGAGATGCCTTTAGAGGGGTGTTAGCTAGGCCGTATTTATAGTCTGGAACATGTCTCAGATGGACTATTTTACACTTTAAAATGGTAAAGTTAAGACCGTTGTTCTCCAAGTTTATTCACACACCAGCGAAATGTTACCCCAACATCAACTTTCTTTGGTAGAATTAATGAGCTGTTGTTTCCCTTGGATCTGCGTCTGATTAGTTCTATTCTGTTCTTGGTTATAAAAGGGTATGGTTCGTGTAATATTCCTTCTGGAAACTAAAGGACACAACAATCAGTAAATGATAGAAACGATCGAGGAGTTATACTTAGATGAATTTCCCTCAGTACTTACAGAGCTAGAGTATACGTCAAGCCTTCTTTTGGAAAACTGGGAAGAGGATATCAAAACTGTGGCTTCTAATAGACAAGCCACTGGTTCGAACCGTGATATAGTCCCCACGGAATTTCGTGAAAAGTCTTTCGTCTTCTGTCTTGGGAGGATAATCTGTTAAGTAAACATGGGGG